ATTTTTGAAGTTGATAATAATATGTCAATTTTAAAATATTCTCAGGACGTGTATTAATCCATTTACATCATGAGCTCATATGTACGTGGTATTTTTCTGGCCGTTATCATACGAAGCGCAAATATGCGCGCTTTTGATTGATACGGGCTGAATTTCCGCTTTTCCAAATGATTCAAATGGATTAACAATAATACAAATTTTCAAATTTTGTCATTATTGCAACTACATTTTTTCACAAATCAAATCAGAATTTTGCTGTTCAACATAAGAATTCAAAATTTAGTAACTTTTTTAATAGCTTTGCAAGATTTCTAAAATTGTGCACAGTGTTTTATTAACGTAACGTAAAATTAATCATTGTTAGCATTTCAATGGCTTATCGATGATTTTATGTAAACTTACCAAATACAACCTCATAAACACCTTCTAGGCAATCCTTTAGAAACACTGTACACCTATATGAGACTTCGGATTTATTTTCCAACCAAGTCTTATTTTCAATGATCACCATAATTTTATTATTTCTTTTGCATATAAATCTGTGGGTCTTAGTTACGGTTTCTAGATATTTTCATAATTGCAACATTTCAAAAATTCTGTATTGTTCCCTTGTTAAACCAACTTCGGAATATTGCTCCATTGTTCGGTTCCCATATTATAAAACTCACATATTCACAATTGAAAAAATTTAGCATGAATTCCTATAATCCTCTGAGTTACCACAATTATAATTTCAGTCTCATCGAATCTAAATTAAGCATACTCGGATTCCGATGGTAAGCCTTAGATATCCCCTCTATTAATAAGTATTCTGCGTTTTTTATGCATTTATAAATAAATGGTATATACATAAAATATAAAAAATTATTTCAATGTTCAACAACTTATGAAATATCGAAATGTATATTATGATTTTTAAATATAAAGTAGATTCGTATTTAGATTTCATTTCCTACACTGATTTCAAGAAAGGTTTATTTTGCATAAAGATCCGCGTTCTGTTTATGAGATTGTTATTGTTTATCAGAATGATTGGACCGAACTAGATACTTGGATCGATGTTTCTCAGATATTTAAACATAGTTGGTACGTGCTATTAATTATTTAGTACCTCTCCATGAAAACAGAAATGTAATTATGAAACTAGTCAGCGATTCCGACGTCAGGATGTCAAGATCATCTCAATTTTTCATGACTGTGGACCATATACTTAGATTTTTCATTGATAAGCTATTAGGACCTATTTAATACCCACTATGAATTATTTCTTATCTCCTTATCAAAAGATAAATTGTGAATGCAATATTGCAAGACTTCTAAAAAGCACTGATAAATAAAGTATACAGTGTGGATTGTAGATCTATGGTTGATACAAAATATATTGAATGTAACTTTTGTATTAATCGTGCGTTCTCGTCACGAGCGTGGCGTACGGGAGCAACAGTCTCGAATGCAGTTGTCGCGCTCCTGGCCGCCCGCTATACGAGCGCTCTGATTGGTCCCGGTTTTTCGTTAATAACTCGACAACCATGTTTCGAACAACTTCTTTGCAAAAGAAAAAGTTGTTTAAAATCACCACAGCTTCTACCCATTTGAAGGCCTAACACTAGTTCTGCGAAAACCTGTATACAAAGTACTCGTATATATGAGTTATGATAATTGTTAATTCATAGACTTTTAATATTTAATAACTGATAAGTTATTAGAAAGTGACGCTATCGATTTTTCAGATTATTAATTTTCGCTTGTCAAGCCCGCTTATCTTCAATTTTACGGTACTCAAAACGTCTTAACTTTTCGATAAGATTAGGTAACGTATATCGCTAATGAAGAAAAGAAATTCCGTTAGAAATTTAATTAAATTTAACATTGGTGTTTGTGCTCATATTTCTGTTTATCTGATGTTAAACTAAAACCGACTATCTATTTATTTTTTCATGTATCTAATCGAGTTTAAAACGACGTCTTTTATTCGTTTTCTTTACCTTTCTGGTAGGCGATGCCATCGAAGAGATCATCGATTTGTTTAGGGGTGATTACGTCCTTATTCATGGGACGTACC